AGCCGAAAGCTCAGAATAAAACTATCATTCCAGAGATCGCGTCTTCCTCCTCTTTACAACAAGAACCTGGGGCACGCATATTCGCTTCTTTTCGTAAGAATTTTATTGTCCTGACGTCTTGGATTCTGTCGGGAAGCATTAATTATAGGTGATCGTAGAAGATTCTGAGACATGTGCTCATAAGGATGATACATGCACAGATTGCATGCTACTTATAGTTCGAAGAAGAGAGACATGCAACAGAACAATATTATTGTTCTGACGTTTCGGATTCCGTAGGGCATCCCTAATCATACGTAATGGTACACTATACTGAGTCATGCGCATATAGGGGGTCACTTAATGTGGGTTTACGAGTGATAACCAATCTTTCTTAAATTTCGGAATTTCGCATGAAATACTGGCCATTTGCCTCCACTATATTTGCATTACTGAGCTTTGGATATGCACTCCAGTCTCCATGAGCGTTCAGTTACTGCGTGTAGCAACGTGGAGGTTTCCCAACTATACTAGATTTCGACGGGAAGGTGACGACAGGGGTGAGGACGGGGATATACAGGTTGAAAACCCCTTCCTCACCCCCGTCGTCACCCTCGGATCACCTCCTATCTCCCCGGAATTTCGACAGGAGAATCCGGGGACTTTGCTGGCAGCGTATACACTTTTTTGAGCATAACCACTGAACAAAACGTAATTTTTAATCAAATGTCTGAATTTATAAGAGTATCAGAAACCAAATGGGGAAAGGCGTATGAAATATGTAATACAGAATTTCACATAATTCTATAGAAAGTCAATGTAAAACAGCAAGGACCTTTGTTCCTTGTGAATACTGATCAACTGAAGCGTACTACATTAAAATGTGTGCACCTGCCCTTCCGGATACAAGTACTTTGGGTGAACGCGAAGGCAACTGGCAACCAGGTCGGCTGAACACTTGCCTAATTTCAGCGATAATACCTATGCAAGCATTTGGAATGTCAAGTTAACCAAACGATCTTTTTCGATTAATTCATCATCAGGCCTGTACAACAATATAAATGGAGGGTGGCGTACGCAAATGTTTAAGATGATGATGAATTAGTCTAAAAGGTTCGTTTGCCTTACTCGACTTGCTTATTGACTTTTCAAGCAAGAATACAGACTACCGCGATCTTCGATTACTAAAAACCTGCTAGACACTGGTCAATCTGTCGACCTTTAAAGCAGCTTTCCGATTACGGTAGGACTACTTCGTGGGACCGCCTGGAAAGCGTGCGAAGCGCGCTCTTTGGTCTTACGGGCGCCTGGTTTTAGGGAAAAGGGCGGGTGGTGTATGTCAGGGAACTAATTAGATCGCCATAATTCTGTAAAATAAAAAAGTTACCAGGCAAGGTATGGCGCAAACTCAAACCTCGGGCAAGGACACTGACGAATGCTTTAATATCGTCGCTAACCGTTCACTGGACCAATGTCGGGGCAGTGCGCCCTGACTTTGGACGACGTCATTGAGGTACATTTTGTAGTAGTACCATTAACATTAACTAGAATAAAGGAGAATGAATGAAGAAGGTTGAAGATTGTGGAATTCACCTCACTAAAAAAATTGTAAGTAAGTGATTTTTCCGCGGTTAATTTGATAAGCCATTTTTGCTTAATGTGCTGACTTACGTAGTTGTTCCATGCGGTGCCCCTCCGAGGACCATTCCCTAATTCAGTGCCATCATACAATCCCTACTGGGTCGAGGGCCGCCGTGCGGAAATCTGGAAGATTGTGGGTAATTCAACCTACTTAAAATTCGTAAGCAGGTGGTTGGAATACATAGGCGCCTTTCGAAGACCCCACGAGGTATCCTTACATCGAGTACATTTTCCGGCACGAGCAAATCAGACCTTTCGCTACTTGGAAGCGGCCTACATACGGCGAGAAAAAACCCGACCTGTGCAAGCAGCTAGACAGCATGATCAATCTCCAATAACCTTGATATTTGGGCAGCTATTTTTAATCAGGACTTGGCTTTCGCCAACTTCCTCGACCTCTCCCCCTTTCTCCCCATAGGCTGATTTTAGATAGTGTCCTTCAGTTTATCATCATTTACACTGGACTATAACGCTTACTGTTATAAGTTAACATCCTGTGACATTCAATCTGTTGCATGCTTCTAACCGTCATCGGACTTATGCAACCACGGAATGCATTTGAGAAGCCGTCGCAAAATTTGTTGAGTTTAATAAACCTTGCTGTCTACACTTGTTGTAACCAAGTAACTTATTTCAATGTTAATTATTGATAAAGAAGTCGACTCGATCGCTGGGACAATTTTTTTATACGCCTGACGCTCCGACATCCATCGCGGATTTATCATCAGAGACATTAGCAGAAAACTGTAGCAGAAAAGAGTAATACATGCAAGGAGTTTGCAATAGTGTCCAAGCGATCGAGTCGTCTTCTTCTCCATTACTTCCTGGGACTTGCATGTTCGCTTGAATATCCTGGTTAAAATATGAGCTTATTCCTTATTCATAAGAATCGTTCTGATCCTACTAATAAACTCTTCTGTTCGCACTAGGGTTTTTACTACGTTCCTGCGGTAGGAAATGACTAGAATGTTAGTTTTGACGAAGACACATTGAGAATACTACAACGTCCTCAATTTTCCGTAGTTTCAAAAAGCTAACAAGAAGTTAAGTCGTTGGGCTATATCTCACCTTTAGCATGCATTCTAAAGACAAACACTATAGATATTAGTAGAAATATGTTCCCTATGATCACAAGATACTAAAGCTGACAAAATAAATGATACACCTCCCGTTTAAATAGTTTATGGTCATGAATTTCTCTCGATTTACTTAAATTTGCAGGAATTCGTGTCCCAAATATTTGCTGTACCGATGTCCAGTCCGGGCTTCATCGACAGTGTAGTTCGGTCCATTATTTTGGGCATTGAACATACTCGAATGAGGTCGGTCTCGCTGAGAGATCTCCTCTGCAATTCCATCGGATATACCGTCATGTCGCCCATCTGCATGCTGGCCCCTTTTGTACACTTCCAAGACTGGCGGAAGTGGAGAGAGGGCACAACCAAAGTGAGTTCGTATCATGAACATTCCTCGACGACCTCAACAAAATCATTGAAGTTCTATCTCTTGTTTAGCTTCAAGCTAATGGTGTAGGGGTCAAAGTAGTGGTTGTGCCTAGATCAGATTGAACCCCAGGTGGGAGGTAAAAGGCAAGAATCACCGGGGTGAGGGTTTTATTGTGTGCATAATCCTGAGTTGCTGTCTCAGGTGTCAGTGGCCACTTGCGAAGCCAGGGCTGGTCTTGACTGCGTCCTGACTGCATCCAGCCAGGC